TGAACAGCTCTGGTGCGATGTGGCCTGGCATTGTCATCCATAAAGATGAACGGGTCCCCCAATTCATTACATAGGGGTATCATTCTATGAATAATAACATTTGCAAGGTAATATGCACCACCAAGTGGGGTCCTTCTATTGAACATAATACCCCCCAAAACATTTGTGTTCCACCGCGATATGAAGGAACTGCAACGGATATATGAAGCATATTTCGGTGTCCTGCTTCTCTCCAAACTCTTACTCGGTAATCATCGATCACTAATCCAAACCGCGATTCATCGGTAAAGAGCACATTTCTTCACTCTGCCAAACGCTAGTTTCGATGATTTCGTGCCTATTGTAAACTGGACTCAGKAGYTCAGAGTGACTCAACGCGCAATGGAAAGATCAATGCTACAATTGACACTTAGGGACTACATTACGAACACTASAACTCCGCAAAAGAACAGGCTTGGTAGGATGCAGTGGAGAGAATCGCAACTCTGAAATGGAACTTTGCAGGACATATTGCATAGATAATAGGTGGACCATAATAGATTCAATAATAATAGCACATAATAGAGTGAATAATAGAGTGAAGAAGCAGGGGAGACGCGAACAGAAATAGCGGCCGACCGTCAACTAGATGGTMTGACGACATAGAACGCATCAGGACCAACTGGATGCAGGACGCACAAGATASGAGARGGTGGAAKAAACTAGAGGAGGCTTATGTTCAGCAGTAGACAAATCTAAGCTGATGATGAASAAGAAGAAGTRAACGGGTCCTTCGGTGGCGATGAGTTAACAAAGGAACTCTTAACTTAAAGGCCTTCTGGACCTCAATCCTGATTGTAAAAGTCTTCTACGGATAGTAGCACTGGATCACACGGTTATACGTTCTCTGGAATTGAGATCTTAGTGCCGATAGGGTGACTGAGCGCTCTCTACGGGCTGATTGGGAAATATAGCGATCTTTTCGATAAACGACCACTTCGAGCTCTGTTGATCACTTGACTAGTCTCTTCATAGCATCTAATTGTATTGCTAACTGTGCTTCTAAGAAAGTTCAGCCTTCTGGAAATATTGTGCCTAGATAAACCTTCTTGCCATAGAGCAATAATTCTAGTGCTATCAAACGCTGAAAACGCGTTTCTAGGCATGCTACACGATATAGCATCAATCAATATAAATCAATATAAATGTGAAATTTTTGCTGCATCACAATTTTAAAGGGGCAAACAATTTTTTTTTTGGAAATTCCATCAGTTTCTTTACTTGTAAACAAGTATGTTTTGTTTACCAATAAAACAATTTTGAATAAATTAAACGTATGCAGTAAATACAAGAGGGGTGTAAGACTTTTGAAACTGAGTGTATGTTGCTTTATTCAGTGTCGATATTTTTAGTGCGAGATTATCTAAACATTTTCTTACTCGCCTGGGGTACTCGAAGTTTTGTAACTGGCATCTCATGAGAACAATAAAACCTACCACGCTGGCTAGACGGGTTGGTGCGTGTTAACTCAGCATTCTGAGACAGACACTGTTTGAAGCCACCCATTTTGGGCCAGACGCTGCTTATTTGTTAGTTTTGGTCCGCCCCGATTATTTAATTTCCACCGTACCACCGAGGAGACACACCATGGGAGGCGTCCCCCTATCCGCCACCTGGGGAGGCGCCCGATGGGGGACTAACAACCCCAGCATGTCTCAGTTGTTCCTATTATTTTGGTTTTATTTCTTTCTTCCTCTTTATTTTGTTATTTACTTTCTTTCCGTTTCTATTATCTCATATTTTCGTTCTTCTCTATGATAGCTTTAGCCGTTTCCTCATGGTAATTTCCAAGATCTTTTCTTATCATTTTCATTGGTTCTCTTCTTGTTTGTCTATACTCATCAGTTGCATATTTGCTCTCTTTATACATTAATCGTCGTGCTTCTATATTTTCTTTGGCGTCTTTGGTTATTTTGCTGGGGTTTGTATGTGTTTTCTCTGGTACCATCGTTGATGTTTTCGTACGGACGCTCTTATGCTCCTTTTCTGAACATTTATGCGGTTTCGGTCTTTTCAAAGTAAGAACAATTAGCGTTTTATTCGTTTTACATTTAATTTGCCAAAACACAAGTCTAATAATCAATCTTTAATTCAATAAGGCACTCTTGGAACCGATCCCAAAAAGAAGACTGTGTTAGTATATGGACATCTAGATGTTCAGCCAGCACTTAAGGATGATGGATGGGACACTGAACCTTTTGTTTTGACTGAAAAAGATGGAAAACTTTTTGGAAGAGGAGCTTCAGATGATAAAGGTCCCGTGGTAGGATGGATCCACGCATTGGAGGCTTATGCAGCGATCGGTGCGGATATTCCAGTAAGTGTTTAGTATAGCCTTGAACAGGGTCCATTTTAGTGTTGTATTTAGAATGAATATGAAACGGTACCAAGTATTGGTCAGATAGCGGCAGCGAGAGTAATTAAACTATTTTTTTAATACAAAAAGTTTGGGATATCTTCTCCTTCTCCTTTGGTGCCTCATTATCTGCGAACGTTGGCGATTAACATTGATATTGTTATTCGATCAGCCGCTTGTCTAAATAGTTGTTATCCCAAACCACTGGCGTGGTTTTGCAGGCACGAGTTCCTTCTTCTTCCTTTGCTCTTGTAGAACAAGTCGTAGAAGTCGATATTTATTGTTCTTCATAATATGTCCAAAGTGCTCTATTCTTCTTATCTTCATTGTGAATGCTACCTTTTTCGCCGTTCCCATTCTTCTAACTACTTCTTCGTTAATTATATGCTCTATCCATGAGGTGCGCTGAATTCTCTGGTATGTCCCTATTTCGAGCGCTTTGAGCTTTTTCATCAACGTTTCAATGGGCTACGCCTGAAAGCCGTACAAAAGAACCGCAAGAATATCTGATCATTCTTCAATAACTTCACCGGCGCTTACACAACAGCTGAAAAATGTGCAGAGCACTCCGCAATATGGTGGATCCTGCCTTGGCCCTAATCTAATTCTATAACAGATTAAATTTTTCTCTCTCAGGTAAATTTGAAATTCGTCTTCGAAGGCATGGAAGAGTCTGGAAGCGTGGGTCTGGACCCAGTGTTGTATGGGGAAGCCGAAAAGTTTTTAAAAGGCACAGATTTCGTGTGCATTTCTGACAACTATTGGCTAGGAACTGAGCAGCCGTGTATTACATATGGACTTAGAGGTCTGTGCTATTTTCACATTGAAGTCGAATGCGCAAAGAAGGACTTGCATAGTGGTGTTTTTGGGGGAACTGTGTAAGTGGTCTTCCTTCAGACACTTTAGGCAAATTTATTGTTGAACCCTTTAACAGGCACGAAGCTATGAATGATCTAGTGCACGTATTAAGTACTCTGATGAACAAAGACGGGGAAATTCAAGTAACGGGAATAAATAACGAAGTTGCAGCTCTCACAGATGAAGAAGCCAAATTGTACGAAAAGATCCACTTCAAGGTCAGCGAATATAAAGAAGATATTGGATCGAAGCAATTATTGCACAACGAAGTGAAAGAGAAAATCTTGATGCACCGATGGAGATATCCGTCCCTTTCAATTCACGGTAACATTTGGTTGAATTGGGTTGCTTAAGGTTTTTTTACGAACTGTTTCAGGGATTGAAGGCGCGTTTAGTGAACCGGGTCAGAAAACCGTAATTCCTAAAAAGGTCGTCGGCAAATTTTCGATTAGAATTGTTCCCAACCAAGAGCCTGCTAAAATTGAGGCATACGTTGTTGAATATGTAAAAGAGCAATGGAAGCAATATGGAAGTCCAAATGAGATGAAAGTACGAATAACATGAACAAGGCTGGCGAGACATAATTTTGCATTTTTTAGGTTTATTTAGCACACTCCGGATCTCCCTGGACAGAAGACCCGTTCCATCCACACTATAGTGCAGGCAAGTTTTTATAAGTATTTCGACTTTAATATCTGTCAAGTGCTTTAATTTTTGATTGGCATTTTGGGTTTGCATTTTACGACTTTTTAAGCGAAAGTCAGGTTATTGGTGCATTGTCACAAAATCACTCTGACTGGCTTTCAGTAATTTATTTCGAATTCACAATTTTTTAATTTTTAAATCGTTTCGATGTTACTCTACCACTCCCAAATACCAAGAAAAGAAAGTTGCAATATGAGAACCGTGGGGGGGTGCAATGTTGGTGTAGCGACGGCTCACGGGCGCTCAATACGGGATGGTCTGGGGCGGGTGTGTACCAACAAGACACTAAGCGGAGCGTCGTTTTGACTAGGAAGCTGGAAGACCATGTTTCAAACGGAATTATAAGTAATCCTGGAGGTTGCCACACATATGGAAGTTACAGAAGGACTGCTGCCCTCGAGGCAGTCTCAAGAGTTAAGATGTGCAGTAGTAGTAGAACAGGAACAATTAAACCTGGGGTGGATTCACCAGTGGGCATTGGCAAGGCTCGGACCTTCTGAGAGCCCAATAACTGCCGCACCTCACGTAGGGTTAAGCAACCGACAGGTAGCAAGTGCTCTAAATGACTGAGCTCTTACAGGGCACCAAAGAGATGTGGAGAGAGGCGGAAGTGTGTAGAGAAGCTAAGGAGTTGATAGAAACCCCAAGTGGCGCCAAGGCAACAATCCAAATGGTTGATGTCAAGGAGTCGTTGGGGCCTGAGAACTCTGGTTGGGGTCATAACAAGCTACTGTGGTTTGAACAGACACATACACCTACTAGGAATTGGTGATAGCCCCGTGTGTCCACAATGCAGAATACTGGAGGAAACATCATACCACCTAGTCGGAGTCTGCCATCACTGGTCGTCTACTAGGAGGGGCCTCCACACTCTTCCGCATCGAATTGTCTTCCTTGGAGTGGAGGTGGATCTTTGCCTTTGTCAGGGAGACGGGACGGCTGGGTAAGGTGGGGATAGATGGAGGGGAAATGGCGAAAAGGTGCCTTTAAAACCAACCCGCCGAACCCATCGGGTCCCCCCACAATACCACCACTGCTACTTCTCCACCACCCCCAGTTAGTCTAAAACAATTGTCAAAACTCTTTGTCCTAGTAAGATATGAACCATTCTAACGTTTTAAATTAAACAAGCAGTCGCACTGTTTATTTGTGCAGCCGATAAACACAAAATAAAGTCCATTTGGACCCTACAGTTCAGCTAGATGGTGTAAGACAATTGGAAAATGCCAAGGAACTTATAAGGAAAGCTATACCATCAGATTGCTGACTACCTCCAATTGTAAAGAAATAAAAGCTGCTGGGACAGATAGAATAACGACAGAGGTGGTAACAGCTGCAACTCTATGGGAACTTGACACTCTTCTGCTAGCCTATAAGACACTTCTACAAAAGGGGAGTTTTCCACATCAAGAAAAGACAGCGCAAATGGTTTTTATTCAGAAATATTACTTCACTAAATTCAGGCCAATCTGTCTACTTGTCGTATTTGGGAAACTTTTTGAAACCGTCATTGCAAACAGGCCATATTGCGAAATCGATGGGAAACTGTATACCCACCAATAGGGATTCAGGAAAAGCCGGTCCACCCCTGATACAATGCAAGAGGTGCGGGAAATCGTAAATAACATCAAATCAGGAGGCTCCAAATAACCGAGAACTCTGCGTAATGGACACGTTAGATATTCGAAATGCTTTCAACTCAGCACCCTGGGAAGGAATCATGCTCTCGCTGAAAGACATCATTATATCTCCGCCGAATAATATCAAACGGACGGTCTCTAGGAAAGATCTGTACATATTGGCGTGCCACAGGGACCGATCCTGTGGAATCATTTCTATAATCCTGTGCTGACAACAGAATTCCCTACGGGAACAACCGTCATTGAATTCGCTGAAGACACAACCGTTACACTGCAAAGCAAAAACACAGCTGGAGCGAGTCAGTATTACTAACTGCGTTTTGGCTAAGCTGTCGGAGGAGATCCGCAGAAGGGCTTCAAACTTGCAGCAGGGAAGACAGAAGGAAAGTAAAGCGATAGAAACAGAATCGCGGTTGAAATATCTCGGAGTAGTGTTCGATCACAACTGTGAAATGAAGGTGGCATCAAAGCTTAAGAGTCTCTAATGGCATTAAGCAGAATTATATCGAACATAGGAAGACCAAAATCATCCAACAATGGCACTTTATCAAACGTGGCACATTCGATTGTCATGTACACTGGGCACATAGCATACATACTAACCCAAACCATAAAGTGGGAAAAATACATATAACTGGTGGCAGGGGTACAACGTAGGGTAGCGCTTAGGATATGTTGCAGTTTTCGAAGTGTATCTACAGAACGTGCATTGGTACTGGCCGGAATTTCACCCATTAACCTCCAAATTAAAAAGAGAAGCCTCTAGTCGCTAAAGGAATAGGAAGTAGCACCGACTGGAAGATACCGAATGGCAGCGAACATGGGCAACAAAAACTGAAAAAGAGCATGCACACGGCTATTGATAGCAGATCTTACAAAATGGGTAGGACTTAAGGACCGAGAGATAAGTTTCTACCTCTGTCAATTGCTGAGTGGACGACAGCGACTTATGCCGAAGATGCCAGGTGGTTGAAGACGCAAACCACGTGTTCTTTCACTGCGAAAACTGGAGACTGTTAATAGACGCAGCACACAAGGCACTGGGCGTCACATTAACTAGCCATAATTGTGAGGAGGCCATACTTATTAGCCAGGATACCTGGAATATTGTGGATACCTTTGTGCGAAATATAAGGAACGGAAAAAAGAGGAAACAAATATGGGTTGAGTAGAATAACAGTTCTCTTTTCCCGAAGTAATTCTGGCGCCGTTCCAGGAAAATGAGAAGCCATGAGAAGAGGTTTTAGTAGGGGCGGCTCAGACACTACCTTGGTGTGCATAATGCATTGTCTTTTCTTTAAAACAAGAAAAAACATCTTCAATAAACTGTATAAAAAATAATTGGACTGAAAGCTGTGCTTGCTAGCTGTGCCTGAAATTCACATATTTCCATTTCGAAAATAATTTCTACTCACAAATATATTGCATCAAATATATAGTAGCAGTCGGGATACCCATCTTCGCCACAATTGCAAACCTTGTCTGGGAAAATATCGAAAGAAGCAAAATTTCAATATACAGTCGATAATTGAATAATTTCCACAAGGCCGTAAAATTTACCCTCGAAGAAGATAAGAACAAATCTATAAGTTTTCTAGGCTTGACAATTAATTATTGCAACCTTGGAGAAACAAAAAAAAAATACTTAAAAAAAATGTAAAAAGTGTCATAAGGGCACTAACAGATAGAGCTATCAAGTTGTCACATTCTGATTAAAGAACAGAACATTTAGAAAAAATTAGAAAGGTATTGTAGTGAACAACTATTCACGAGTGGCTAAAATTATAACTACAAGTTATGTAGTAATTTGACACTTGTTTGTTGATCTGACTTGATCCTCGGCAGAAACCATCCGGAAAAAATATACGGTTTTGAATAAAATATTTTGAAAATGTTGTCAGACATTGACGAAATCAGTTGTATGACTGCGTACAGTCAGTGACACAGTCAAGCTGTTAGCGTGCGTGGCGAAAGTCATTACTTTCCACACGGGATTAATTCAATTTGTAATCAGTAAAAGTGACCATCGAATACAGTGACGAAAGTACGTACTTTTCAACAGAGGATCAAGAAAAATATATTAGAGAGCTTTTTGGGGATATCAGATCTGAATCTGATATTGATGCCGCTTCAGGTCCACTAATTACCAAAGGGGAAGTAGAACAAGCAATAGAACTTGCAAAAATAGAAATGCGCCTGGACCGGATCAAAACGGCTTCGGAACTAGAGAGCCATTATTTTGTCTTAATGTGCTCATCGAAAGATGTCGCGACGTCAGCGATAGTGTGTTCCTTTCTTCCATTGACTCTGAAAAGGCGGTTGATACGCAATGATAAAATGGTAGTAAATGGCAAAGATATTAGACTTATTGCCAATTTGTACTAGCACCAGAAAGCTGAAATACGATTGGAACATCAATTATCGGAGGAAGTCAATATCAAAAGCGGAGTGCGAGAGGGCTGCATTCTGTGTCGCATGCGTCTCAACCTCTAGACGGAAGACATATTCGTTGAAGCTCTTCAAGGAATCAATATAAATGGAGTTATTGTTAATAATATAAGATAGGCCGATGATACACTAATTGGAACGAAAAAGATCTACAAAATCTAATGAATAAGGTCTCCGACACATGTACTGAACTTGGCTTAAAACTCAATGTATGTCAACAAAACAAAATATACGGTCATCAGTAAAGCACGTGATATTAAAGGTAAAATTATCGTGATCGATGGCACGCATCTGACAAGGGTGCATCAATGATCATCAGGAACGGAGCATGAAGATCAAAACCGGAATAGATATAGCCAGAGCTGCCTTTATGAAAAGCTGGCTTTAAAATTCAGAATGAAACTGGTACGCTGCTATGTGTTCCCAATTCTCTTGTATGGCATAGAAGTATGAACACTGCCTAACTACTGGACGAAGTAAGCCTCAAGGAGAATAGCTTAAATATCTCGAATCATGCGAAATGTGGGTGTACCGACGATTACTAAGAAAGATAACATCGTGGCTAAAGAATTTAAGGCAGTGGTATGGGAAGTCTACAGTTCCGCTATTCCCAGCCGCTGTCAGCAGAACAATGATCGCCAACATGATCACCAACGATCGTTAAGCGGTCGTGGTATCAGAAGAAGAAGAGAGCGTGATGTTCGTAAAGCTGCAATTTTGAGAAACTTTAGGAAAATCGAGTTCCAATATCCTAAAATTATTTTATTTCCCCCAAGAGCCATGTCTTCAATTTCCATAAAGTGCGCAACTTTTCATCAATTTTTGAAAAAAAAAGTAGGGCAATTTGGACATCTAAAATATCTCTTCAAAACTTAGTCGTCTCAAACATGAAGCCCTCTATTTATAATGTATGACTTATTATTCTAAATACAGGTATCAAAGCAACAAAACACGTATATGGTGTAGAGCCGGATTTAACGAGAGAAGGGGGATCAATACCTGTAACTTTGAGTTTGCAAAAAGCTACTGGTAAAAATGTCCTATTACTTCCGGTAGGATGTGGAAACGATGGAGCCCATTCGCAGAACGAGAAAATTGACATTCGCAATTACATTGAGGGGGTTGGTATTCTGAGTAACCATTACTTCAAATAAGATGTGTTGATTATGTCTTTTTTTTTCAGACCAAACTGCTAGGGGCGTACCTCTATGAAGTGTCTCAGCTGTGAACATTCCTAGCACTATACCTGGACCTGGCAAATTATCTCTAATCGTAAAATTACCTTATTTACTGACAAATATTGCAAACTCATTGAACAATCAGAAACATAACAAACAATATATAACTAGACCTCTGAAAAAGAATGAAAATTTGTTAAATATTTAGAAAAATATATCATTCTTAATAACGAGTGGAGTTTAACTGCTTGTATTTCAAATATTTATGATCAAATATTTTTAGAACAGGGAAATTGAGAAAATGAGATTGACGTTAGTTTCGTGTCGCTGAAGCCCCCAACCTGCCCGGACTAATATAATAATTTCAGCTTACTTGCATTTTAGAGCTTAAACATTTTTTGCAGAAAAGAGAATTGTAGTCATTCAGAGTTAAATACTGTTAATCTTAGTGTTAGGGTTAAATTTAAGGAAGAATACGATTGATGCAAAATTCAATAATTTTAATAAACGCCCTGCACCGTCCACAGCCAAATAAATAATAAATAAACCCTTGGCAACGCCACCAGTTGTTTTCCCAACAGAATATCCCCCAGGGATAACTGCTTTTTTTGCTTCTACAATGAATTTTTAGATACCATGTTTTTAAGCAAAATTTTACTAAAATGGCAATAATCTGCCAACGTCGCAAGTGATAAAAACCAATTTACCGTGCATATGCAGCGTTTCAAGCTGCATTCCATGAGCTAATGAAAAATGGGTAGTTCTATTAAAAAAAAATACACTCTCAATTTTCCTCGCTTTTCTGAGACACTCCTCTATATCATATAATATATTTTTTAACTGTGCGTCAATAACTTTTATATGAAACTATTTTTCAAAAGTTCAACACCATCGTAATTAATGGACTCTATCGCACTACGACACTACGTCTCCCAAACGAACCCTCTCAAACGCCAATGTTAGGTCAATGAAGCAAATATGCGCCGGCTTACTGTATTATATAGTCTTTTTTTTTATTTGCTTGATTATAAATGTGCGTCCGTTATTGATAGTCCCTTTGTAAAGCCCTGGGGCTCTTCAACATTCTTAATTTGCGGGTGTGATCCAAAATTAAGTCGATTCCTAAAAGACATTGAGTATTAACTTTTTCTGTCGTCCCACTTTAGGACTTGTCCAAATGACTTGAACAAGTCGTAAGTTGATTTAAAATTTGAAGTTTAGTAGAACAGAGAAATGATCGCAATCCATAATCCCGTACGAATGAGTTGCGTCCGCAAAATACATTTATTAAAGGATGGTCTACATCGCTATAAAAGTAATGCTCATTAAAACATGCAAACACATAACATCTTATTGGTCTGGGGTTGGTTCTTTGTGCGTTTCTAGACTTTCGATTTTGGACTTTCCTTGGAAAGTGGTCCAGATTTAGTATCACCTTGATGTCGTCGATCTAGAACGAAAACGAATTATTTAGATATGGGGTATGAAATATACGTTGATTTGATCTGCTAACATAGATCCAAGACATCAAAAAACAATAAGTTTTAGGCTCTTAGTAAATTTCATTCCGATGCATTCTCGCAGATATTTGCAGAAGCATGGGTAATCGTACTCTACTTGAACTGACCGGACGGTTAAACACGAATATTACTAAATGGATCAGCCTCCTTTAAACGCCCTGTATTGTAGATTTTTTAGGGTGAGTGGTAAGCATAATAAAACATAGGTATCACATTGTAATTGTGATAAAGTTGTTGTGATAAAATAGTTATCGTGAGTGACATATGGATACCTATATAGAGTTGGCTTTTGAAAAAATATGCTTAAATATAGATACATACAGTACGATTCTTCTTCAGTCTTCAACCAAATTTTCCACAAACGCTTTGTTTACGAGATACAGTTCAATAGTTTCATTTTCTAAGCTTTTGCTACTGCGGTAGCTTTAATGGTATGATCAAATTTGAAACGATAGTTAATTTATTTCAGTGTGTCGAGTGTTGAAAGTTTTATTTAGTATGGTTATGTTTGCTTGTTCGTAGATATATTTTTTTGTTTTCTTACAACTATTTCTAGGGCCTACAGTAGCGAATACGTCATTGAGTTGTTGTAGCTTCTTGTTTCATTCTTGCAGATTATTTGCTATTAAGATTATGTCATCCGCAAATCGGAAATAATTTAGGTATACTCCGTCGATGTTTGCACCTTTGATGTCCCTTATAATTTCTTAAAAAAATATCTTCTAGTACGAGGGTGAATAGTGTGGGCGAGAAAGTGTCTCCTTGCCTCACCACTCGTTGCAGTTTTATGGGGTTTGTTTTTGTTTTTTTCGTCCAGTTTTATTTGTCCGTCTGATGTTCTTTATGATATGCGTATACCTTGAATCAATTCTGGCGTTTTATTGGGCTTCTAACACTGCCCATATTTCGATGAAGTCAAATGCTTTTTGGAAATCTACAAAAGCCACACGGAGCGGCACACTAACATTATTTTGATTAATTTATTAATCAATAAAATTAAT